ATGGTATTCAAGACAGAGTGCGCCGAACTAGATTGAAAGCAATTTCCTCATGATGAACGATAGAACGAGCGATTCAAAAAAACGTATTCAGAGTAAGGTACCAAGTATGAATTCTGTGAAAATCAAATTACTTATCCCCAACGTCATGGTCAGGGCTCATGATGTGGGTGGCTTCAGTTTTAGATGCAGGAATAGATTGAGCGAAATCGCTTGGGCACTGGAGACTCCCGAATGTCTTCCATTTGAAGCCGTATGCGCTGACAACACCCAGCTCACCAGACGCCTGCTTGCTTGTATTTCGCTGTTCCAAATAAAGAATTTTCGAATTCGATTGAGATCCAGTGTTCTCTACATTTGCTGAATATTGCCCCAATTCCGGTGCTGATTTAGATTTGTGACTTTCGTCCGTTGAGCGCTTGATGAAGGATAACTGTGTCAAATGAAACCGTTTCCAATACTTCCAACTACCTTTATTCCATCGCGGCCGCCTCTGTGTACAGGCTTTCTATTCCATTTCGCCTGTTCACCGAGCTTGGCAATTTGTTTGTAAACGTTTCATCACCAGCCGAGGTGACATCGTCAGTGCTTGTGCTAGCCACTTCAAAAGTACTGACGATGTTACTTCGGCTGGTGTTGAAACGTCTGCAAACAAATTGCCAAGTTCGGTGAACAGGCAAAATAGAATTCAGTTCACCCAAGCTACAGGAACCGATTTTCAATACTTGGTCAATAGCCTTTCTACGCTTATGGTCGACTTCTTGTTCCGTCTGTATTAAGATGCACTATTAAAGAATGTTGTGAGCAGCACAGTTCCATAACTGAATGATAATTACAAATAAAGAAAAAATAGACAACCTCCTTTACTAATGTGCGCTCTATAGTGTAATGGTGAGATCAAAGAAAATGGATCATGTGTTGTGCGATATGTGACACTGCCAAAATATGTAGATAAAGAGTGGTGATCAAGCTATGTCAGGCACCATCATTACATCGTCCGGAGGTCGAGTGTTACAGCCCCACTACTACCGTCTGACTTTCCTCATCTTTGGCCGAGCGTGTCAAAAGATGGCAAGTATCTCCAAATGGCAAATATGCACAGATAATCTGTTAAGGGAAATTCTTGACAACGAATTTGATACCCTTCCTCGGGGGACACATTAGAAAGCGCTTTGCATGGGTACGAACAATCGATGTGAAGGGTGTTCAGTGGCATAGGACCATTGATAAGAGCTGAAATCAGTGAAGAGTTACCGATAGAGAGGGAGAATCATCAGCCAATGTGAGATAACTTCACACGTACCTCCAACAAAATGGATAACTGTGGTTGATTGTGCTTTGGTGAATCAATCGACCACGCCGTTTCAACTCTTGACAGATCGCTTTGTCCGCATCTTTTACATAATTGCCCGCGAACTCTGTGATCTCGGCTGTGAAACGACCGCAAGGGTCGACCGGACACACCATGGGTGTATCTTTCCTGATGATTCCGTTGGCCATACAGATGCGAAAATCGTCCTACATTGTGAACCATAAGGGATGAAACAAAGTGGTCTTTACATTCAAGGAAACAAGGAAATGTGGGCAATACACAAACCCTTGCGTTTGTGGATTCACATAGACTAGGCCAAAACATGTTAAACTAATGAGTGTTTATTTTCTTTGAATGCAACTGCTTCGGAAAGCCTCAGTATGGTCGAGGTGGGTGTCTGGGATTGTGACTGGTCACCGTTCCCTCACATCTCGCAAAATGCTCGCATACAACCAAGCGTCTCAAATAGTCCCTGCAGTCTCGTGGCGGTGTTTGTCCTACCAAAGTGAGAGGACGAAAAACCGACATCCAAGGCTATAACTGGGTTGGTGAACCATTGGCAGTTCACCTAAGGGAGTTGGCCAAAAACCCTGATTCCAAACCAACCAAGAAGAGGCGTACGAACCACACGCACACCTCGGTTGCGGCAGCGGTCACCGGCTCAATTAGGCATCGAAGTGTATTGGGCACCTTGGACGTTTGACACCGTCCAAAAGGCGTATGATCTAATGAACTGGACACCGGCCCATAATGGATTACGGACTCTGAGCTCCGTCCTGTTGTTTTGCAGATCTGGCTTTCTAGTCAAATGTTTCGGGTGGGAACCCTGAGGTTATTCCCCTTCCTCGGCCAGAGCAACCGGGAAGTAACATGCCCATGCAACCTATCAACAGATTCTTCCGATTTCTTTTGTCCATATGTTGTGACACACCTGCCAGTTCTCTGTAATCGGCTACGTGTTGAAATAATAATAATGATAATAAAGGCAACTGCCGTATGGCATATTTTATCACACTCCTGGAAGACTTTACTTTGACCGACCGCCGGAAAATTTTCTCTATTAATTCTAAGTGTTTGAACAGGACACAGGTGGTGCTTTCCCCCATCGATAAGACAATCTTAAGTGTTCCAGCTATCCATTTTTGAGAACTGTCGATTATGCACAAACGTCGTATTAGTCATACATAAATAATTCCTAGAAATGGTTAATATTGCGCTTGATCTTACAGTGTGCGTAACCCTAAATGCGTCTACGGTGCTTGAAAGATGAAACATATGAAGTCGAATATACTCGGTGAAAAATTTCAGTAACGAAGAGTGTGTGAATTAATAACTTACTCTCTTCTGTAAAAACTACTCAGTTTAATGAGGTCATGTTGTGACCTCATCCGGTTTTGTTAAACATTCAAGAGTTCGGGTACAACCTATAACCCGGAACATGTTTCAGTGAGTAACGGTGCGTGAGTGGTCTCTGTAAAATTTGCCCTGGGCATATCCATACGGACGTGTTGATCATGCAGTCAAACTCTTTTTATCGTAAATGAACCGGGCGACAACTCTGCGCCCGTGTTCAAATCTGCATCAACTGCGTGTTACAAAACAGATGAGTTCGATGTGAGTTCAACTATTCTGTAAGTCACAAGTGAACGGCAGTGAACCCAGCTACAACCGCATTCATTAATTACCATTTTCCTCCTGGTTATTTTCGATTCATAGACGTTTATTGATCGTAATCAAATCGTAATTTAGTACATATATTGATTCGACCTATATTTTTGGTGAGCATGCATATAACTCGGATCACTGTCAAGGTCAGTGCGTCTGCCAAACAGCTTCCGAAATTGAGTCGCTGTCACATAAAACGCCCCGTAATGACAAATGTGAAAATGCACTTTTATTACACGTCTTATCCTGATGAAGGATAGTAAACTTCCGGATCAGAGGTAACTACCGTTTGGTTGAGTAATTGTGACTTGTAGTTGGAAACTAAGTAAATCACCCTGACAACAGAGCCAGACACAGTATTTAGCCCAGTGAAAGCGAAGCCACTTACCACCCAATGGCTGATGAAAGTTGATCAATGCTAACTTTCCCTGAAAAGCTGATCCATGAATGCAATCGCCGTCTGGGAACCAAGTCGCCAGAATTTGTTTCAATACCGTTCGAACCAATTAAAATTCGATCGACAGAAGTGGAAATAGAATTGAAGCGTTTACAACTCAGTTTAGGTTTTCATTCATTTATTCATTCGTTCTGTGTTCTCAGTTTTCCCCATTTTCATTCATTCTTTCTGTATCCCTCCATAATTTCATTATCATTATTTTGCATTGGCACCCTGCTTGTTCTCAAACCGGTATAGAAATATATAAATATATATAAATCTATAAAGGACCCAAAGTTTGGCTATGAGAAGAACCAATCCTCCTAGAAGCTCTCCACTCGCGCTATCTCACGGTGATACATGATTTTAAAGAATAAAAGGAACATTGATGTCTCTAGCAATTATCAGCCTGCAGGAAATGAACAACACATTGACGACGCCGAAAGGAAGAGGAAAAATGGTCTGATCAGCTGCATGGTGCCCAAGTGGGTGGCATGCTAGCATTCTGCCTATGAGGTCCCGGGTTTGATCCCTAGTTGGGTTGATGGATTCGCACTGTTGATGAGAACCAATCAGGTTGAAACAGCGGGACAGTGCTTCCGAGCTTTTCAATTCACGTTTCATTTGCCACATACACGACAAATTTCCCCTTTGAAAGGGAGGGGAGTGTTCTATGTATAAGATGTACCAAGGACCGTTGCAAGCGGTCTCACAAAGCGCTCATCAATCTGGAATGAATTAAAACAGATGAATGCTTGGAGCAAAATGCCAAAGTAAAAATGGCAAGTTTGTTCCGGAGAATGCATTGTGATAAACAAAAAATGCAGATAAATGCAATTATGAATATCTAAAGAATCACTTACTTCACCAAAGTAGGGAGCTTGATGGACAATACCAGTGCCGGTATCTTCAGTGACGTATTTATCACACAGGACTCGAAAAGCACCGCGTTCTTTTTTCAACTGAAACGAATAGAGACTGCTTAAGTTTGCTAGGTATACACGTTGACCGTCACCGATGGATAAAATAACTGCCCATAAATGTCTTCCTATTGTCATTAACAGTGAACGGAATACTTGAAGCACATTTTTCCATCAACACAATGAATTCGCTAAAAAAAACATGCAACAAAGCACATCAAAGAACATGCATTAAATCATTCCCATCCTAGAAAACAACACTGCATAAAGATGCTGTCTACCATTCCCAAGAATAGGATTCCTCCTCGGTAAGAATTTTGTCCTATCCACTCAAACGACTTGGTAGCACAGCTCTAATAGGACTTTGATACCAAGAATTCTTCGTGGGTTTCTGAATACCATCCACGGGTCCGTTCAAAATCCATACAAATACATAGCCCAACTGGTGTTTGATCACAGTTTGGTGAAGTAATGCATCGATTGCGTCTAAAGACATTTAAATGAATACCTCAGCTATCCATCTAGTATCCTTTGATTCAGTCCTTTACAGAACTCCACAGGATTTGCCATCACCTTTTGAAAGTGTGAAGAGCCATCAAAAATGACATCCGCTGATTAGGATTGAACTGAAGACTCAACAATGGACTGAATGCATACCACATGAGCAGCAAAGGTCATCTTGATCGTGAGAATAGATGCCACTCCCGAACAGCATGGATGAGAGTCCCACTGATGGAGCGAACGACAAATAACATGACGCATAGAGCAGCTGTCCAAAAAGTCAACGTGCAAATGAAAAATCAATCTCCAAGTGCACAGAACAGTATAATTGTAAGGTAACTGCAAATTAAATGGACTAGAAACCATTTATTTGAAGCTCCCTTCTCATGGATTAGAGAAAGAACAACGGCAATAAAATTCTTGGTTAAATGTTATCCGATTGCAAAAGATCAGACACCTCGGTGGACTTCAATCACATGTAAGTCTGTCAAATAATGAAACCCGGACAAGTAACCCGTCACGAGAAGAACTTACGTGAGCGAAGTATCCAAACATCGGTTCATAAGTCAGACCCGCAAGAGTCTTTCCAAGAAATCTGAAGTCAATAACGGGATTAGGCAAACATCGTGCAATGTGCACATTACTCGAGATTCGTGCAATTCAACATACTCTCATATCACAAAGGATTATGTGAATTAGCGTCTAGAATGCTTCAAACGATCTTATCTGAAACGCTATATTCTTCAGAGGAGTAATGGAAAGGACCGATGCACTGCGATAAGGGCACGGACACCCTAACCTGTGAATGGATGCGTCGTCAAATCAGCTCTGGTGCCAATTACGTGGCGTTTCAACCACACTAACGCCATTCACTATTGTTTAAGCCAAGGAGAACTGCTTGAACGATTGGAATTGTGCCGTTCTATAGATATAACTAATTGTTCATGGCTGGGATGAACACTGGTTGAATAGCAAAACTTTCAAAGCTTCAATGAACACCATGAGTGATGTTAGCCCTTGTCAACCTCAGCCGCAGTTTTCGAAGTCTTATTCTTCGAGAATTCAATGATGAAAGCATGTACAAATGCCTTGATTGTACCAGGGCCTGATGCGTGTTGAGTTCACTACATTTCGTGGTCTCTACGTAGGCTTGCGTTGAGTTAACGTATTTTTACGAGTCGCGCTTCATTTTGTTCACTGTCGGTCGGGATTGATCAGTGTGCCTCAAGAAGGCGTAGAGACTCCATCGATATCCAGGGTGTCACCGCACGGTGTGTCAGACCACAAATAACTAAGCCAACAGAATAGACATCTATATATTTAACACCGGCTTGAGAACAAGCATAGTGCCAACGCCACAATATTAACAATAACAATAACGCGAGGGGGGAATGGGATACAGCGTATAGAGAAAGACGTAACTGTCCGAATTGAAGATTACGAATAAACGGAATAACAATCTTTATTTGTGTTTCAATGTACACCTTATCAAATTTTTTTGTTGTTTGTTTTCACGGGGCACGGGATTTCGACAGGCAGACAGTACAGCATTCCCGCCACTGACTTCTATTCTGGGCCATATCTCTCAGCGCCTCTAACCAACGACAATCCTCATCCCTTGGGCCCCAACCTGAAAGGCGGGCTGCACAAACCGAACCCAAAGCTGAAGCTAGCTTCTTCATACCTCTACGCCATGTCATGGTCTGACCGCCACGCCGCTTCTTCCAAAACGTTCCCAAGCCATCGGAGGCGGTGTAGAGCGATTACTTCCGTTAGGGAACGACTATCCGCACACAACACACGACGACGGACCTCGTCATTGCTTACCCGATGTTCCCAACAGATGCGCACAATGCTTCGGAGACATCGGTGGTCGAATACAGAAAGTCGATTAGCATCCTCAACGCGGAGAGGCCAAGTCTTGCAACCGTAAAGCGGAACACTACGAACTGCTGCGATGTACACCCTTCCCTTAAGGGACATTCGGATGTCATGGCGGCGCACAGGTGTCGTAGGTTGGCGAAAGGTGCTCTAGCTTTCGCTATTCGTGAAATGCTCTCGTCCCCAACACCACCACCGGCTGTGATGAAGCTCCCGAGGTACTTAAAGTTCTCAACTACTTCTAGCTGATCACCACAGAGGGTGAGTGCAGGCACAGACTCCTGCCAGTCTTGAACCAGCACTTTGCACATACCCTATCTGGATACCTCGATCGCCAATCTGCGCAAAGCTTCTTGGGCTGCCTGTGTGTTGTCACTCAGCAAGGCAGTCATCTAAGTCAAGAACTCGGTTCCCTGGGAGGAGTTCGACTCTACCGTTTGCTAGACCGGACAAAGCATTCTGTAGAACACCCTCTACGACAAAGTTGAAAAGAAATGGGGATATAGAGCAGCCATGTCGAACTCCACTGGAGACGGCGAAGGGTGGCAAAAGCTGGCCATAGGCCCTAACCCGATCTGAGGTATGACGATACAACTCTTTGAGGATCGACAAATAATTCTCAGGTACTCCATTCCTCAGAAAACAGTTCCATAGTGCGGTTCTACCGACGGAGTCGAAAGCCGCGCGAATGTCTAAGAATACAATGATCGTTGGTCTTTGTAAGGCATGACGGTGCTCAAGCAGCTGTCGGAGGGTGAAGATTTGATCGATTCATCCACGATCGGTGAGAAACCCGGTCTGCTCCTCACGCGTAGTGTACAATCGGCGGAGAATGACGGACGCCAACAGCTTTGACGCTATCGGGATTCGGCT